TTTTTTTTTTAGACCTGTCTTTTAAGCACTTTTGGTCAACATCTGTTATCTAAATGTGCTATAGGTTTTAAATATTCTAGACGTGACGGTAAATACAAAATCTTTCAGATATTTTCATACAGCATGTCTGAGCTATAGTTTTTTAATTCCAAAATTCAGTGGGCTACAAACTGAACTTATAGGATAGAAGCAAAGTATTGATCTTATCACCGTAGCATCGATGGGAGATCAATAGTAATTCAAACTACTTGGCAGTGTTAGCAACATTTGTGCTCTAACAATTTACTATATCTAATTGGAAATGACAGACCATTGTGTCTGTGATACCTACCTTTATACTGAGCTGTAGTTGAGGGTTAGTCGTGGGGGTTCCATGGTGTAATGGTTAGCACTCTGGACTCTGAATCCAGCGATCCGAGTTCAAATCTCGGTGGAACCTAAATGTTTTGGATGGAGAAGCTTTTCGCTTTGTGTTCATGAAAGTTAACATTGTTAGCTTTTGAAATAAATATAAGAAAATAACTATGATCTGTCTTCATTACACCGTCAAATATCGATATAATACGCTTTAAAATTTCTCAAATTCGACGGCGGAAACTGCCGCTCTTCTTCCGCCTGATTTGGCTCATACGTCATACTCTTCCGTTCAAGATGGCAGCAGCAATGGACGTGGATACACCGAGCGGTACTAATAGCGCAAGCAAGAAACGATTTGAAGTAAAGAAGGTATGGCTGTAAAAAGTCTCTCACCGGGGAGTTACTAAGAAGCTGTCTAATGTGAACAATGGACGCTATCATAGCTCAGTGCCGCTCACTGCCTTTACTAAGCTAACTCTAGCATGCTAACTTTAGCGCTATGTCACTGTGGCATAGGACACTAGGCTTGTAACTGTTAGTAACGAATACCCACGAATTTGCACTTCCCATTAAGAGGCCGAGAATCAACGCCCTTACAGATATCTCTGATTTAATAACAAAGGTGTAATGGGCAGAAACACATCAGCTGTTCAAACGGTACCCCGGCGGAATTAGCCTAGCTACACATCACACGTAATTTTTGTTTTGTATTTAAAAATAATGTTTACACGTTTGACATGCTTTCGATGGCGGGTGTGTGTCTCGTTCTTATGCTATTCTTTTCTTAATAAGCTAGACTCAAATGATATATTTAGGGCCCCATGCCTTAAATCTCTAATGATTTGAGGACTTCTATAGAGTTTACAGTAACATCTCAGGCGTGTTTCTGGGATGGGGAAGTGGATAAGGCCCTCTTACAGACACTCAAGAGATGCTTTTGCTTCTTCTTTTTCAAATCAAAAGACATTTGACACTCATAATGAACCAAAGTTAAAATATATATTTTTAAATAAAACACATGTTTATGTCATGTTTGTTATTAAGCTCAAAAAGTGCCCCTCAAGTCACAGCAGTTTGTGCACTGCTGGCCCTCGTGTGGTTCAAATAAGGGGATATAGACATTTTTTAAATTAAATAATCTCCAGATTATGAATCTTGGATCATATATTTGTGTGATTTTATTTTTCCCCCCTCAGTGGAATGCTGTGGCGCTCTGGGCCTGGGACATTGTGGTGGACAACTGTGCTATCTGTAGGAACCACATCATGGATCTCTGTGAGTTCAGTTTTACATTTTGGTCTTTGATCTCTTTGGTGAACATTTTGACAGTAAATGAGGTTTGCTTATCATTGTAGGTGATATGGTGCTTTTTATGTTGACACATTTCTCTTTTCCCCCCTCACCCATTAGGCATAGAGTGCCAGGCCAACCAAGCTTCTGCAACCTCTGAAGAGTGCACTGTAGCCTGGGGTGTTTGCAATGTAAGCTTCTATATAACATGTACAGTGTGATCAAAATGGTCTCAGCTCCCCTTTAAGACTATTGCTCTTTGTTTGAATTGCACTGTGGAAGAAAAATCCTGATCTGACCACTTGATTTTCTCTGTTTTCTCTCTGTCTTTGCTGTGTGTGATTGGCAACAAAAGCCAATCACACACAGCAAAGAAGATGAAAATGGGTGTCTGAAATTATTTTTTTTTTGGGAACAAAGGAGGAAGTCATAGGAAGTGTGTGTGCCCTGCACTCCACAGTTCAGGTTGTTTCTACTGAATGATCTCCCTGGGACAACTCAGGATATCACAGTAGAACTGAGTCTTCACAGTCTGACCCTGGTGTCTGTAGCACTGACAGTTGTTGATGCTCCCTGTTCAAATTTGGCATCCATACTGAAAACATGCAGATTCACAAAGTCAGATTAGGACTTCTAAGGAGTGATCTTAAAAAGACGATGACAGGCACCTCCTGTAACAATCATCTCTGCTGCCAGGAAGGGCAGATATAGGAAGTTCTATGTATTGGGCAGAGGTGATCTTCCAGATGATATATCATTATCAAAAATGATCAGCATGCTGATCCATAAAGGTGAGAGGAATCATGTTAAACACAAATATTAGTATAACTTCTGAAGCGATGTTCCCAACATTGATCATAATGAACTTTAATAGGAATTTCCTGCACAAGGCTGTTGTTCTTATAAGAGCTTGCTCATGCCAGGTTTATATGCAGGAACTATACATGCAATGAACACTATTTAAATGGAAGGTTTTAAAGTTTCCCAAATCCTTAAAAATGGTTTTAAATAATCTGGGATAACTTGATCCTCTGGCCATTTTGTTATTTTAAGCGCACATGATCTATTTCTTTGTTTTCCGGTTGTGCCTCAAAGTTTGATTGTTGTCGTGTGGAAGTACAAAGAATTAGTATTAGCAGTATTGCCAGGTCTCTCTTGGAAATGAGATTTTTGCCTGGATAAATAAAGGACTAATAATAAATAAAATACATGATACTTAAATATTGTAAACCTGAAGTAAAATATCGATTTTCCACTAGAGAAGTTATTTTTGTTAAATAAAATTCTTTTAGGTAGTTTTACCATCCTTCTACTGTTTCTCTTCTCCAGCATGCTTTCCACTTCCACTGTATTTCTCGCTGGCTGAAGACCAGACAGGTGTGTCCTCTGGACAACAGGGAGTGGGAGTTTCAGAAGTGAGTACCATGCATTACATTGTATACAGTTTTACTGTGTGGTCCAATCACAAGGGTTTAAGGGGTTCCTTGGTTAACAGTGCATTTGATCATTTGTTGACCCGCAGAGAAAATTGTTTATTCTTTAAAACTGAAGAGCTGTACTGACAGAACATCCTCTCTGTCATGTTTTCACAGATATGGACACTAGCTCGTTTATCCTTCACCCCTTTGTTGGCTTCTGCAAGCAGCACCCTCACTTTATCCTTGTTCTGACCCGCTTATAAAAGCTGTTTCTGCTCATATATTTTGTTCTGGTATATTGTAAGTACAGAAATAAACAGGAATCTTGTGAAAAATACAGCTTGTGTGACTTGTGTTGTCGGAATTTTAAAGAGGAAGGGACAAGCAGCACATTTTCAGGGGTTGTGGGTAAAAGACTGAGTTAATGAAGGAGATCCAAAGGACAAATCAGCCGTCTGCTGTGACAGGACAGTGCTCAGTCAGATCTGCTTTGATAAGAGCCCAGCCGGCTGCGTGTTAGAGTGGTAATCCTCTGGCTGAAAGACAGATGTTGTGGATGGATTAAGTAGCTGGTGGCCCACTCTCCCACCAGGCCGGATTTATTAAAGTACCTTTAAAGACCCACATTTGGAACCAGC